GCCAGAGGCTCGTGCCTCTGGCAAGGTGCTTTCTTAAATACTGAATTACAGTCAATCCCAGTCAAACAATGCCCGTTCCTCTCCCTCTCTTAATCAGCCAGGACTCTGCAACAACTCTAAGAAGAAGAAGAAGAAGAGAAGAGATTGGATTTATACCCCGCCCTTCACTTGGAGTCTCAGAGCGGCTTACAAACTCCTTTCCCTTCCCCTCCCCACAACAGGCACCCTGTGAGGTGGGTGGGGCTGAGAGAACTCTGACACAAACTGCTCTTTTTCAAGGACAGCTGTGCCAGAGCTTGTGACTGACCCAAGGTCACATCAGCAGGTGCAAGTGGAGGAGTGGGGAATCAAACCCGGTTCTCCCAGATTAGAGTCCGCACACTTAACCACTACACCAAACTGGCTCTCAGCGCTTCCACACACTGCTAAACACAGTTTTCCCACACAATATCCTCAGCTGAATCCCCTCAGCTGAAAGCAAGTAAAAAAAAAAACACTCACCCCTCTAGCAGCTCTCTCTCCAGCTCCTGCTCAGAGCTCAGCTGGGTCATTATCTTATAGGAGGTATTCTCCTGAATAACTCAGAAGGGAATGCCTCTGATAAGATGACCTCATGGTGCACGACTGTGACCTGCAGCAAGCACTGTGCTCCAAGAGCTACTCCCTTCTCATTCCTTCTCAAACAGAAACATAGAGCTGGAAGGGGTCCCAAGGATCATCTAGACCAGAGGTGTCAAACTCATTTGTTAAGAGGGCTGGATCTGACATAAATGCCACTTTTTGCTGGGCCGGGCCATGTGTGCCAGTAAACTTCGTGCCAGATAGAAACTGTACAAAGATCGGCAGCTGGTAAGCTCTGAGTTGGCGTGTCCTCACCGCAAGGCCCCCTAGGGTGGGAGGGGGGTGCAGAGGAAAACCCACAGAGGCAGACCGGAGAGGCAGCAGTGCTATGCTGAGTAGATACTCCCATGACGCTTGACTGCTGCACGTGAGGTTGTTCTGCTGAGCCATAATGGAGTGGCTCCACCCACTCCTCCCCTGCAGTACCTCCCTTGCACCAGTTGCTCGCGGGCCGCATAAGAGCCCTGGACAGGCCGGATCTGGCCCCCGGGCCTTATGTTTGACAACCCTGATCTAGACCAACCTCCTATACCATGCAGAAAATTCACAGTGACCTCTGCCACACACACTCCCCCAGCGACCTCTGCCCTACGTTCAGAGGAAGGCAAAAAACCTCCAGGATCCCTGGCTCGATCTAGCCTGGGGGGAAATTCCTTCCTGACTCCAATGTGGCAGTTAGCAAACAGGAGGGAATCAGTGTTCCCTCTAAGCTGAGTCAGTGTGAGCTAGCTCACAGTGTTTTAGCCTCCAGCTCATACATTTTTGTCTTAGCTCAGGAAAGATGGCTCCAGAGCAAACTATTTTATGCAGTGGCCAAATCGTTCGCTCACAACTTTCATGCCAGTAGCTCACAAAGTAGAAGTTTTGCTCACAGGACTCCACAGCTTAGAGGGAGCATTGGAGGGAATGTCTCTTCTAATACCAAACGGGCTACCTGTAGTTTTTACTTCTTCCATTAAAAATAATACGCTTTTAAGAAATCTGCTGATTAATGAACCGGGAACACCATTTTAGGCTACCACTCCCCAAAAAATTAAGGCAAAACTGTTTAAACACTGCCTTCTCATCTCAATGCCTGTTATCTATTTAAACATTTATAGCCCGCTTCCCTCCCCAATGGGAATGCAAAGCAGCTCACAGCATTGTTTGCCTTCCTCTATCATAACCAAAAAACAACCCTGTGAGGTAGGTTAGTTTAAGAGCGTGTGACTGGTCCAAATTCACCCAGCAAGCTTCCAGGGCAGAGTGGGGACTCGAACCTGGATCTCTCAGATCTTAGTGCGACATACTAACTGCCACATCACGCTGGCTCTCATCGTATTCTCTGAATAAGCTTCCCAACAATCCTGTGAGGCAGGGGCAGAGTTGAGGAGGAGAGAAAGCCACTTGTTTAAGGCTGTCAATTGAGTTCACGACAAAGGCGAGATCCAAATCAGGGACAGACAGATTTTTGGACATGACACTGATTTTTCTGGGAAACAACATACTCACCATGCTGAGCCCCCCCGAGCGCTTGGAGCAGATGGAAGCGTGAGTGGACGCCCCTGTTGCGCCACCAGTTAATGGGGAGCCCCTGAGAAGATGAAAAGAGCCAGAGTGAATGAGAGGAACTTACACAACACACAACGGCAAAAGAAAAAGCTAGATTCAAGACCAGTAGCACCCCAGAGACAATCAAGATTAGAACGAGGGATAAGCTTTCAAAAGTCCAAGCTCCCTTCCTCAGATAAGAGTTGAAATGGAGATCCTGGAGTCTTTATTAGGGATGGGCATGAACTGGGGAAATGTGGTTCGGTTCGCGGTTTGCATCCCCACCGCGAGGCTATTTTTCAAGCTGTCTTCTGCAGTCCCTTTAAAGTTTAAAAGTATCACACAAGACAACCTGAAAGAGCTGAGCAGCACCTCCCCGCTGCTCAGCTGTTTTTGCGGGGAACAGAAAGCAGGGGTTTAAAGGGACTCCCTTTAAACCCCTGCTTTCTGCTCCATCCACGAATCACCACAAACTGCTTTAGTTCATGCAAGTTTGTGAGGCTAGACCCGTCACGAACGTCCGTTTGCGAACCACAAAGGAGGCAAAATCTGCGACGAATCTTTGTTTCCGATCCTTTGCTTCTGTGCCCATCCCTAGTCCTTATACCCCAGTCAAGAAGGTGGGAGGGGAGTTGCAAAAGAGAGCTCAAGATGGAGGCAGTGGAAAATGCCGTCAAGTGACAGCTGAAGGGACAATGAGCATATTAATGGTTAACTACTGGACTCGAATATAGCTGTTCTGCTGCAAACCAAAGACACAGGAAGGGGGGGGGAATTAACCTAATGAAACTAAATCAAGAACCAAAAATCATTCCTGCCAGTTCTTTGTAACATGAGCCCATTTGGACCTCAAATTGGTTGACCTCTGAAGAAGAAGAAAAGACTGGATTTATACCCCGCCCTTCACTACCCAAGGGAGTCTCAGAGCGGTTTACAAACTCGTTTCCTTTCCCCTCCCCACCACAGGCACCCTGTGAGGTAGGTGGGGGCTGAGAGAGCTCTTGACAGAAACTGCTCTTTTTCAAGGACAGCTCTTATCAGAGCTACGGCTTGCCCAAGGTCATCCAGCCAGGTGCAAGCGGAGGAGTGGGGAATCAAACCCGGTTCTCCCAGATTAGAGTCCGCACACTTAACCACTACACCAAACTGGCTCTGAGAGAAGAAGGCCTTACTGGGTCGAAACGCATTAGGTCACAATAACTGGCCGTTGTGTGTGCGTTATTAGTACTTTTAAACGACGCTTTCATTGGGCCCTTACATTTTTTAAACTTTTCTCAAAATAAATACATGTATTTTTACGTACAACAAGTATACATAAGGTTTAAACTACTGGCCGTCTACTATGTCTCTGCCTTACCTTTTCGGTTCCTGATTCTACTGCAGGCCTATACAGTTACTCTCTGAAACTAATGGCAAAAGAATAACTGTGGTTTTGCTGAGTGGGCACAGGCTGGTACACGAGGAAGGGCCACCCCCTAAGATCCCACGCGGTCGCCCCAGTGCTCCCCTTCTGACCATACAGCATCGTTTCCCCTGTGCAAGAGGGCTGCATGGAAACAGAGTCTTCTAAACACCCAGGGACTGCGGGAAAACCTTGAGAGGGACTGGGTATGCTCCAGGGGGCCTGGAGTGTCCAGCGTGGTTGAGAGACATAAAGAAAACAGGAGGGGAAAAGTTCACTCCTCAGTAGGCTTCGCCAGATGCTCGTTTATGGTGGGCAAATCCCCGGCAATTTTTGCCCCCTGCTTGCCAGTGCTTAGCTGGTCACTGGGTGGAAACAGGCCAGCCAAACGAGGGAGGAGGAAGACAGCCGTTGTTGCTGCCGCGTGATGAGGTCACTTCCGGGTCAGCTGGAAGTGACATCATCACGCAGCGATGACTGCTGCCCTCCTGCAGTCGTCGCCTCGTGATGGCGTCACTTGCAACACGACCCAAAATCGCTGGAAGTAAAATAATCGCACGGCAACAAGGATCGCGGCCTCCCCCCGACACCTCCCTCCATCTTCTGGTGGTTGCCAGGCCTGGCGAACTCTACTCCTCAGGTCCCCAGCACAGATCTATGTATCGATTCCTCCACACCTCCAACGTGCATAATGCCTCATGTTCTCTCCACCGTAAGAATCCCAAAACAACGTAAGAACAGCCCTGCTGGGTCAGACCGGGAGTCCGTTTAGCCAAGCGCCAAGTTCCCTGCAGCAGCTACTTAGATGCTTCCGGGAAGGCTGTAAACAGGACAGCTACTACCCCAGAGAAACTGGTACTCAGAGGTACACTGCCTCTGCACACGGAGGTTCTGCTTGGCCACGAAAACCCCAAGTCATTTGACAGACCTCACTTCCTTCATACTTCCCCTAGCCAGAACCCTTAGCACACAAGTAGAGCCACAAATAACACCAAGGAAGACCATCAACAATTCACAGTTATATATGATATAAATTGTATATTACATTCATTAAAGCACGAGGACGGGTTAGTGGTCATAACCCAATGGAATGTATAAACACATATCCAACAGATTGCTCATGCCAATTCAGCATTATTTACAAAAAAAGAACTTGTTCAAAAACCAACAGTAGGCTCCTCCGTAATTCCATACATGAATAGAGGACCCTAAGATGCCACTGAAGTTATCGAGCTGTGCCTGTTATTTTGGAAATCGGGTTCTGTTTTACCAGCCACTGTTGAAGATCAACGGAAACATCTTGATTTATACCTGGGAGGGATATATGGTTGTTGAGAGCCAGCTTGGTGTAGTGGTTAAGTGCGCGGACTCTAATCTGGGCGAACCGGGTTTGATTCCCCACGCCTCCACTTGCAGCTGCTGGATGACCTTGGGCAAGCCATAGTCCCGTCAGAGCTGTTCTCTCAAGGACAGTTCTGGAAAGAGCTCTCTCAGCCCCACCTATCTCACAGGGTGTCTGTTGTGGGGAGGGGAAGGGGGAGGAAATTGTAAACTGCTCTGAGACTCCGGGAGAGCAGGGTATAAATCCAATCTCCTCTTCTTCTTTCTACAGTGGGCGTCTTCTGCCACAGTTACTATCTGTTTGGAGGTCTAAGGACACTATCTATGTATGGAATTACAGAGGAGCCTACTTTCGGCTTTTGAACAAGTTCTTTTTGTAAATAGTTACCATCTTGTGGTGGTGAGTTCCAAAAGTTAATTATTCATTGCGTGTCCTTCCAAGACACCACTTCCCCCTTCAGAAGCAAAGAGTCAGACCGCCGCTTGTTTCAGCCACGCGAGCGCCTCATCACCCCACCTGCTCCACCAACCACCCCGTGTGGCTCTTTTCGGTCAGTCCCTCCCCCCATCCCCTTACGTGATAAGTTGGGCGCTGTCGTGCGGAACCTCCGGTAGGAGCGCCTGCTGCCTCCAGCGCAGAAAGCGCTCCAGCACGGCGTGAGGAGGCCCTTCCACCGACACCTGGTCTTGCTTGTTCCAGACTTCATAGCCCACGAGCGCCACCCGAAGGCCCAGCGGACGGTAAAACTGTGTGAGGTCAATTTAAAGGGGGGAGAGAGAGAGCGGTCAGGCTTAGAAAGGGTTAAAAGGTGGAATGATGTCATTTCAGTCATGCAAGGGGGGGAGAGAGAGAGAGAATCAGAGGTCATTTCGGGGGGATCGCAGTTCCCCCAGGTGAGGTATGGGGGCGGGGCACATGACGAAGCCCCGCCCCCTGCTTCCGGCCACCCCGCTTCCGGCCCTCATTCAGCCAGGAGGAGGCAGGAGAAGAGGGAGGGTAAGTTGCTTCCTCCCTGCCTCTCCCCACCCCTGCCTGCATGGGGCCAGGGAGGGCCTTCGCGGGGCTTCCTTGCACTCCTGCCGGCCTTGCAGGTCCACCGCCGTGCCCCTCATGGGGCTCGGCAGTGGAGCTGCAAGGCCGGCTGTGGCGGCCGGGACCGTTGGGGGCGGGGTGTGTGGCCTTATGGCACGCTTCCGGTGATGTCAGGGGGTGTGGCATATGCTAATGAGTTATGCTAATGAGTTCCCCTAGCTCTTTTTCTACGAAACGACCCCTGGAGAGAATATCTGAAGAATCACTACTCTAAAAATGGAAAGTAAACAAAAACAGAAAGGGCAGGTTTACAGGCCCTGGCAGCCCTTTATCCCTATGGCCTATTTTGCACTCAATTCACACAACCCCTTTCCTTCAACCCATCCCAGCCATCACATCCGAGCTCAAGATGGAGGCAGTGGAAAATGCCATCAAGTGACAGCTGAAGGGACAATGAGCATATTAATGGTTAACTACTGGACTCGAATATAGCTGTTCTGCTGCAAACTAAAGACACAGGAAGGGGTGGGGAAACTTAACCCAATGAAACTGAATCAAGACCCAAAAAGCATTCTTGCCAGTTCTTTGTAACATGAGCCTATTTGGACCTCAAATTGGTTGACCTCTGAAGAAGAGTAGATTGGATTTATACCCCTTCCTTCATTACCCGAAGGAGTCTCAAAATGGTTTACAATTTCCTTTCCCTTCCCCTCTCCACAACAGACACCCTGTGAGGGAGGTGGGGCTGAGTGAGCTCTTTCAAGGACTGCCCTTGAGAGAACAGCTCTGAGAGAACTTGTGACTGACCCAAGGTCACACCAGCAGCTGCATGTGGAGGAGTGGGGAATCAAACCCGGTTCTCCCAGATTAGAGAAAGATTATTGATTCATCTGTATAAAATAATGTTATTAGTGAATATGTGATTTGTAATTTTGTATCCATTCAGATATTATATTAAGCTTTGATTGCACAGATTGCAGTAATTCTATTTCTATTTCTTCTTGTTATTCCATACTGCAAAAACCTCCCTCCTCTCTTTACTGATGTCATGGAATGCGGCATAGTTAAGAAGAAGAAGAGACTGGATTTATACCGTGCCCTTCCTTACTCGAAGGAGTCTCAAAGCGGTTTACAATCTCCTTTCCCTTCCCCTCCCCACAACAGACACCCCGCGAGGGAGGTGGGGCTGAGAGAGCTCTTTCGAGGACTGCCCTTGGGAGAACAGCTCTGAGAGAACTTGTGACTGACCCAAGGTCACACCAGCAGCTGCATGTGGATGAGTGGGGAATCAAACCCAGTTCTCCCAGATTAGAGAAAGATTAAGATCCAGATTAAGCTACGACCAAGAACCATTTTGGCCCACCTAATCCATTTATTTATTTAAACCCTTTATATGTTGCCTTCCCACCCAACTTCAGACCCCCATGGCAGCAACGATGAAAACCTTTTTAAAAGCTTTTAAAAACGTGTATTATAACACTAATTAAAATCCATAATTAAAAGACATTAAAAAAACGGTTTGCTTTAGGCACCCCTGGTCTTGCACTGTTTACTTGAAAATATCCCTCCCCATGAACTAAGATTGCCAACTCAGGGTTTAGAAATTCCTGAAGAATTTAGGAGTGAAGTACGGGGAGGGTGGGGTTTAGAGAGGGGGGGCCCCTCGGGGGGGGGGGTATAAAGGTACCATCGAGTTCCCAGGCCCATTACCAGAGCGTCACCCAGCTACGTGCCTACGTCACGTCTGGGCAACAGAATAGTGCAGGGCCTGTGTTCCAAGCAAGAATCTTCCAGCGGGGAAGCATGTGTCTCCCGCCGGTTTGTAGGTAGGTACTTGGGAACCTTACCGCCAACCCTCCCTCTAAACTGTGGAGTCCTGTGAGCAAAAATTCTCCTTTGTGAGCTACGGGCATTAAAGTTATGAGCGAGCGATTTGGCTACTGCACAATTTAGTTTGCTCTGGAGCCCTCCTTCCTGAGCCAAGACAAAAATGTGTGAGCCTGGAGGCTTAAAAACTGCGAGCGAGCTCACACTAACTGAGCTTATAGGGAACACTGCACACTGCCCCAATCTGCAAAACGGGCTACGCACCCCGTCCATATGGCTGGCGATCTCCAGCATCCGTATCTGGATCTGGTCAAGGTTGAAATTCAGCTGGAACTGAAATGAGAGAATTGCGCTGATGTCATTTTGGATGGAGAGAGAAGGACGTCGGAAAAAGACTTCCCCAGCCCTGCGTGGGCCCTTCTAGCTCTCTTTTCAATTCACCCGGCGAAATCCCTGCAGGATCAGACCTAAGCCCAAGCAGAACCATCTGGGAGACCCACAAGGGAAGAGTCTTCTTGGGTTTCTTTGACCCCTGGGAACTGGCATTCGTGCCCCTGAACATGAAGGTCCTCGTGACCCATCAAGGGTAACAGCCATGGATAAAGTTAAGAGTCCAGTGGCACCTTCTCACAGTTTAGGGCACATCAATTTCCAGTTCTGACATATTTATTACCTGTGTTGGTTTCCCCCCACAGTTGAACCCAAACAGAAGATAACCAGAAACCGAGCTTGTCATTCTTTGATATGTTAAAAAAAAATATCCTCACTATTTTGCATGCTAATTTAACATGCCACCCTATATATATAACTATGATATATAAATCCATTTCATCATCTGACATCGTCTGAACTAGCCACGGATAAAGCAGTTATCAATGCTTTAGCACAGGGGTCCCCTACGTTTTTGAGCGTGCAGACCCCTCTGGAATTCAGACTCCAGGTGGTACTTGGGGGTCAACAGTGGGAAGGCTCCTGGAGTTCTGGTCCTGCTGGTGGACCTCCTGGTGGCCCCTGGGTTTTGGCCACTGTGTGACACAGAGTTTTGGACTGGGTGGGCCATTGGCCTGATCCAACATGGCTTCTCTTATGTTCTTATGTCTAAGGCAGTGATGCTCTGTCTTCTTGGTGCTTGGGGGGGGGGCAACAGAGGGAGGGCTTCTGGAGCTCTGGCCCTGCTGGTGGACCTCCTTATGGCCCCTGGGTTTTGGCCACTGCGTGACACAGAGTGTTGGACCGGATGGGCCACTGGCCTGATCCATCGTGGCTTCTCTTATGTTATACTCTTGATGTTTGGAGGGGGGGGCAAGAGTGGGAGGGTTTCTGGAGTTCTGGCCCTGCTGGTGGACCTCCTGATGGCCCCTAGGTTTTGGCCTCTGTGTGACACAAAGTGTCGGACTGGCTGGACTCATGGAGTGTTGGACTCATCTTATGTTCTTATGGTGGACACAACCTTAAAATTGCCGCCGCCGGAGGCGGAGCTAACCACAAAGCATCAGGGAGTGAAGTTGTGTGTAATTCTAATGGAAACAGAAATGCTAAGACAAATGCTCTTCAGCATTTCAGGCAGAAGGTCTGTTTTACACCCTGTGAGGCAGGTGGGGCAGAGAGAGCCTTTTTGAGAACTGCTCGTGAGAGAACAGCTCTGAGAGAACTTGTACATAAGAACATAAGAACATAAGAGACGCCAATGTTGGATCAGGCCAAAGGCCCATCTAGTCCATCATTCTTTCACACAGTGGCCAGAAATACCAGGTGCCATCAGGAGGTCCACCAGTGGGGCCAGGACATTAGAAGCCCTCCCACTGTTGACCCCCCCCAAGCACCAAGAAGACAGAGCACCACTTGCCCCAGAGCCCCTATCTATACCTTGTGGCTAATAGCCACTGATGGACCTCTGCTCCATATGCTTATCTAATTCCCTTTTGAAGCCGTCCATGCTTGTAGCCACCACCACTTCCTGTGGCAGTGAATTCCATGTGTGACTGACCCAAGGTCACACCAGCAGCTGCACATAGAGGAGTGGGGAATCAAACCCAGTTCTCCCAGATTAGAGTCCACACTCTTAACCACTACACCAAACCAGGGAGATGCAGGTTCAACTCCCCAGTCCCCCATGAAACTCACCGGGCGACCTGTCCCAGGACCAGCATTTGAGCCACTAAAATGCCACAGCCACGTGTAGATTTTTTTTCTAAAGAGAGCGCAAAGCATGTTCAGAGAGCTGCTGGTCTCTCCGATATACCTTGACCTTTAGATGCCTTACAAGCACAGACGGCTTCAAAAGGGAATTAGATAAGCATATGGAGCAGAGGTCCATCAGTGGCTATTAGCCACAAGGTATAGATAGGGGCTCTGGGGCAAGTGATGCTCTGTCTTCTTGGTGCTTGGGGGGGGGGGTCAACAGTGGGAGGGCTTCTAATGTCCTGGCCCCACTGGTGGACCTCTTGATGGCACCTGGTATTGTTGGCCACTGTGTGACAGAGTGTTGGACTGGATGGGCCTTTGGCCTGATTCAACATTGGCATCTCTTATGTTCTTATGCCTTCCTTAAAAAACCCAAGGGGGGGGGGGGGGGGGGAGATCCAGCAAGGACGGGGTAGGGAGCTCACAGAGACATCTCACCTCGGCACGGTCAGCCACCATCACCAGTTCCACGTATCTGTGTTCGGATTCCGCCTGCCGTTTACCCTGGGAGATTGGAGAAAACGTTTTGTTGGACGTTACAGAAGATATTTGTGTGTGCAGCAGTCCTTGAGCCAGCGGAGAAAAGCAAGAAGGTCACAGTCCACAGTACAGTAAAACAAAACACAAAAAAGGAAACGGTGCAAAAATTGCTGCAGTTTGTATCACAAAAGTCTATATGTCCATGTAGTGCCAGAAAGTCCATTTGTTTTTTTCAGACATACAATCAAAGAAGTCTCCACATGGGAATGACGACGAAACTCTCCGGATTAACAATGTCCGTTTTGTAGAGCCTTCATCAAAGATCAACAACACGAAGGTGTCATTCCTTATTTTTCAAAGAACTTCCATTCTCAAAATATAGTTTCTAATCCATGCTGTGTGTATTAGAATTTATTCCATGGCATGGATTAGAAACTGTATATTTTGAGAATGGAAGGACTGCTCTTTGAAAAATAAGGAATGACATCTTGAGCCGGCGGAAGCGCTAAAATGCCCTAGTAACATCTAGACTAGACTACTGCAATGTGCTCTATACGGGGCTGCCCCTTGAAGACTGCCCAGAACGCGGAGTGGAATGGGTAGCAAGGACTACATGATCCCAGCCTTGTTTCCTCCACACTGGCTCTCCATTTGCTTTCTGGCCCCATTCAAAGTGCTGGCATCGATCTTTTAAAGGGCTGTATGGCATGGGGCCAGCATACTCTAGGGACCCCCAGCTACCCAATACACTTCAGTCACCCTCAGAAGCCCTTCACTGGGCACTGTTGCCTTACGACCATAGAATCAATCACAGAATCATAGATGACCTCCAGGGTCATCTAGTCCAACCCCCTGCACAAAGCAGGACATTCACAAATACCTCCCCCCCACACACACCCCCAGTGACCCCTGCTCCATGCCCAGAAGAGGACAAAAAAAACCTCCAGGATCCCCGGCTAAACTGGCCTGGAGAAAACTGCTTCCTGACCCCAAAGCGGCTGTCAGCATTTCCCTGGGCGTGTAAGAAGGGGCCACGAGAACCAAGCCCTGAGGCGACCCTTCCTGCCCTCCCTCTCACAATCTGCCCAAGTTCACAGAATCCGCGTTGCTGTCAGATGGCCACTGAGCCTCTGCTTGAAAACCTCCAAAGCAGAAGAGCCCACCACCTCCCGAGGAAGCATGTTCCCCTGAAGAACCGTTCTAGCTGTCAGGAAGTTCTCCCTAATGTTTACCCGAAAACTCTTCTGATTTAATTTCAGTCCGTTGGTTCTGGTCTGACCTTCTGGGGCAACAGAAAACAACTCCACACCATCCTGTATATGACTTTTGTAGAAAAAGCCCAGCAGGAACTCATTAGCATAATAGGCCACACCCAACAGCAAAACTCATTTGCATATTAGGCCACACCCCTGACAGCACCGCTCATTAGCACATTAGGCCACACCCCCATGTTACCAGAAGTGTGGTCATCCAGCGACACCCACCTTTCCCTTCTTATTCTGGTTACCTTGTTTGTTGTCAAAACCCAGGGCTTTTTTTGTAGCAGGAACTCCTTTGCATGTTAGGCCACACACCCCTAATATAGCCAATCCTAATGAGTTTCTGCTGTTGGGTGTGGCCTATTATGCTAATGAGTTCCTGCTGGGCGTGGCCAACTCAGGAGCCAGCTGGAACTCCGTTCCTGTGCGTTCCTGCCCCAAAATAGTCTCCTCTCCAGTCTAAACACACCCAGCTCCTCCAGCCTTGCCTCGTAAGATCTGGTCTCCAGAACCCTCACCGTCTAGACAGGGGGCAACCCGAGGTTGCACCTTCTGACCTCTACTACCAACATTATGGAATTCCTTCCCCAGAGAGATTTATCTACCACCACCACCCATGTTTGTCTTCTGCCAGCAAGGAAAGACTTTTCTGTTTCACACAACTTATCCTTGCTGACCCCCTCCTTCTTGTTAGTTTTTCCACTGTTGATTTTATTGTTATTGCTCGCCTTGAAGGCCCAAACTGGGTGGAACGTTGGCAAGCGTACATTTGAAAATGTTACATAAAATGACTCGCACGGTTGTCTGCTTGAGCTAGGCAACAGCAAGCATGTCCCCGCTGCTTTCCCTGCATTTGCAAGAGAGAGCACACGCTAATTTTTCTAATCCGGTTCCAAAAGCAAATTAAATAACACCGCGCCAGCCATCTCGCGTACATTCCGCTTCTCCAAAAGCACACTGTTATTCTGCTGCAAAGAAGGACTCCTTAAATGCATTTCCCTTTCCCCTCATGCGCTGCTGGACCCAGCCCGTTGTTACCCACCACAGAAGCAACAAAAGCCAACAGAGCAGCAGAGCAAACAAGATTTACGAGAATACAGAAGATGGGATTCAGATATGCAACTCCCCCTCCCCCCAGCCTGCACTCTGAAAGTAGTATAGTCAATAGGGATGCCAGCCTCCAGGTGGGACCTGGAGATCCCCCGGAATTACAGCTCATCTCCAGACTACAGAGATCAGTTCCCCTGGAGAAAAATGGATGCTCTGGAGAAGGGGTGTCAAAGATGTAGCCCATGGGCCGGATCAGGCCCCTGGAGGGCTTCTATCAGGCCCGCAGTGGAACTGGCTGTCTCCTGCTTCTTCTTCCAGTTGTTCTGCTGCTGTGTCGTAGCTCTCAAATCACTCAGGATAAATAGATAGGCAAGCTTCTGTTCCCTGCACTGGCTGAGGCTCCTCCTCCTGACCCTTCCAGGGGAGGGAGGGAACGAGCCAGAGCTTGCTTCCTGGCCAGGCTGCCTCAATTGCACAGGAGAGAAAAGCGCAAGCCTTTCTTCCCTTCCATTGGCTGAGGCTCCTCCCCAAAGGGAGGAAAGAGGGAAAGCTTGCTTTGCTTGGCTGCCTCAATCACACAGGAAAAATACCAAACACCTTTAAGACCAACAAAGTTTTATCCAAGCTATGAACTGTTGTGTGCCTTGCTACAGTGTGTGTGTTTTGCTGGGCTTATTATGCTGTGGTTCTCCTGGGTGCAACTGGGTTCCCTCCCCCTTTTCACTGTATTCATGCCCTCATGATCCAATCTTTCTCTGTAGGAAAGCCATGTGAACTATTTAGATGAGGAATAACAACAAGCCAGTGAGGTGGATTAGGCTGAGAGTGTGTGTCCAGACCAAGTTCACCCAAGCACATTTCCTTTGGGGATTTTGAACTTATCGACTTCCCAGATAGTAGGCCGATACTGACCACTGAGGAAGACTAGTTTTGTAGACAAACACATAGGACTCAGCCTGTGTCATGGTGCCACTCATGTTCTTGATCAGCACATGAAGCAACTTACGGCCAGGCCCAACAAGGTGTCATTTATGTCAGATCCGGCCCTCATAACAAATGAGTTTGACACCCCTGCTTTGGAGGGTGGACTCTGGCATTGTACCCCACCGAAGGCACAGTCCTCCCCAGGCTCCACCCCCCAAATCTCCAGGAATTTCCTAACCTGAATCTGGCAACCCTACCCTCCATCCCCCACCCGTGGCCAGGGGAGCATCTGGCAACCCTAACAGTCTTTGGGGTTCCCCTTGGCCTGATGATGGTGGGCAACCTTCAGGTAATTGTAGCCCTTGACCACCAATGCTCACCTGACTGGTGGGCAGAAACTGGGGCCAAATGAGGGCATGCACAATCATCCTTGGGAGAAAAAAATTAAATACAAAATAAGGTCTTGTCTACTTACAGGAAGTTCTGACTACAGATGTCTCACTGACTACTAGAGCTACCTGGAAGTGACAAGGATAGCTCTAGGAACCACTAGAAACTCTATGGTCAGAACTTCCTGTAAGCAGACAAGGCCTTATTTTTCTTTTTAATTTTTTCTCCTGGGACTCTGCCTCCTTCCAGTCTAGGTCTAGGTTAATTTAGGTCAGACTAATCCTATCATTGCACATTCAGAACTAAAGGAATCGTGGTATAGAAGCTGGAGGTGAGAAGTGAGAACGTGGTAATACATACCCTACGTAGCAGAGGTTGATCTGGCTGTGGATGAAGCTGTCCATGGGACAGAGAAACTGGCCTGCATTCTCCTGTGCCGTGTCTGACCGCATGAAGTCTGTAGGCTCTGTGATCCGTCGTGTTCCCCCTGACATGAGACTCAAGGCTGTAGCTTCGGTCCCTGGACACAACCAGGAGACCACTGGAAAAGGAAGCCACATTAGAGAACGTAAGAACATAAGAGAAGTCTTGTTGGATCAAGCCAATGGCCCATCCATTCCAACACTCTGTGCCAGACAGTGGCCAAAACCCAGGGGCCATCAGGAGAGCCACCAGCGAGGCCAGAACTCCAGAAGCCCTCCCATTGTTGCCCCCCAAGCACCAAGAATACAGAGCATCCCTCGAACTTTGTGTCACAAATTGACTCTTTTTAGTCGGCTACCTTTAAGCTGATCTTCACATCAGCTTCACCCAGGCAGTCCTAGGGCACTTTCACACACGCTAACTTTACTTTCACACATGCTAAATAATGCAGTTTCAATCCACTTCAGCGACTGTTTGCAAGTGGATTTTGCCATTTCACACAGTAAAATCAAGTTGCAAAGTGCATTGAAAGTGGATTGAAAGTGAATTGAAAGTGCGTTTAGTGTGTGTGAAAGTGCCCTAAAAACGCACTATCCGCTGTCACCTCCCCTGCTGCCAACTCCCAACTGCTCTTTCCAACTGTCTTTCCCAGCATTCCCTCTGCTCTCATTGGCCGCTCTTAGTGAGAGGCAGAGCCTAACCTGCCCATCACAGTCAGCAAGGCCCGACTTGTGTCCTTAAGCTAGAGCTGCATCAACAGGACTAGTTATGCCTAAAGACAGCCAGGTTGGTGCAGTGATCAGAGTGGCAGAGTAAGATCTGGAAGACCCAGGATCAAATCCCCACTCTGTCATGAAAGCTCACTTGGAGCCTAACCTAGAAGAAGAAGAAGAAGAGATTGGATTTATATCCCGCCCTTCACTACCGGAAGGAATCTCAGAGTGGCTTACAATCTCCTTTCCCTTCCCTTCCCCACAACAGACACCCTGTAAGGTAGGTGGGGCTGAGAGCTCTTTCAAGGACTGCTCATGAGAGAACAGCTCTGAGAGAACTTGTGACTGACCCAAGGTCACACCAGCAGCCGCCATGTGGAGGAATGGGCAATCAAACCCGGTTGTCTCAGTTTAGAGTCCGCGCTCCTAACCACGACACCAAATTTACCTCACAGGATTCTAATGAGGACAAAATGGAGGAGAGGAGAATGAGGTAAACCCCTTTGGGTCCCCATCAGGGAGAAACATGGCATATAAATGAAGTGAATAAAGGTATAATTAAAGCGCTGAAAGATCAACGAGATCTTGCTTGGTGTGGTGTACTAGTTAGGCTAGAGATGTCCAAGCTCAAATACCCGCCCTGCCCCAGAGCCTACTGGGCAAACTTGGGCCAATCGCTTCTCTCAGGTGAAGCTACCTCACAGGGTGGTTGTTACAAGGGGAAAGTAGAGGCGGGGAGAATCCTGAAAACTGTCCTGAGCTTCCTGCAGGAAGCACAGCATAGAGATGTAATTGGGGTGTGTGTCGAACAACCACACCCTTACTCAAACACTTTTAAAAAGGAACAAATATGTGACTGGGACCATTTCCCACAAGCCGCTGCTTTCCCCCCCCCCCCCCCCGATTTTAAGCGTCAATTTCCCCCTACTTGCTGTGCGGCCACATTTTGACCCGCAGCTTCACCCGATTTCCCCCGTGTCTTCTCGATCCTGTTTTTTGAGGATCGGAAAGACACGGGGGAAATCGGGGGATGCTGCACATCAAAATGCAGCCGCACAGCAAGTAGGGGGAAATCGACAAATACAATCGGGGGAAGGGAAAAGCGAGGGCGGCAAAGCTGCATGTGAGAAATCAGTCTCAGTAACAATACTCTATGGTAAGGAATGGAATTCTGGTACCTTAACTGGTGGCAGCGAACTGCAAAATGCAGTAACGGATGCCTTGAGTGTCACAGTGCCAGTATAACATTTTGATCACCATCTAGAAACCCCCAAAGTTCTTTTTTCCTTCTCCTTCCCTCTTCGTTCTGGCCCCCGTTCTTACCTTAGACCTGAGCAAATGCAGATATTGGCCCAAGAGTCAAGAAATCCCTGGATACTACCCCGATAACAGCAATTCCCCTGCAACAGAAAGAAGCAGGAAGTATAAACCACAGTCTCTGCCCCCCACATATGCATGCACGGTTTGAAGCATGTCTGTGATGCCCGACACTGAAATAAGAATGCCAAGGCAAGAATAATTTGGAGTGGCAGGAAGGTTATGCTATAGCTATGTTAGAATGACTAAGGCATTTTGAAGTGTTCTAGCTTGGAGAAAAAAATCAGACACACAGAAGATCAAGCACAAGCATCAGTATATTTAATTCTCAATGTGCGCAAACCTGTGGATACTTAAATCCAGATACTGGAGCCATGAACAGACAAGACAGATCTTTCTACAACCCCCCCCCCCCAAAAAAAGCCTCAGGTTTGCAGAAGAATCTGAATACATTGGGGAGCTTAAAATCTCCCCAAATAGTAGAAGAAAATAATGCCCTCCACAATGGCCATCGTGGGGTTACTAGGCAACGACAACAGTATAGCCAGCCTTCAAGCCTTGGTTTCTGTTAGTAAAAGATAAGAGGGAGGACCGTTTTCAGAGTTGTTTGAGGAACGACTCCTCAGGACCAGGCCTGGCAGCAACCACTGAGCAACCTGATATGATCTGCCTGCCTACTGTTCAACTGCAGACACCACACAAAAGCTAGTGTGGCGCAGTGGCGAGAACTTCAGACAAGGGAGACTCAAGTTCAAATCCCCACTCTGCTGTGGAAGCTCATTGGATGGCATTGTGCCAATTACACATGCTCAGCCTCCTGACTCACAGTGTTGTGGTAAGGAAAAAAATGGAGAGGAGAATGATATAAGCTGTACTGGATCCCCATTGTGGCAGTTGTGGTGGTGGTGGAGGAGGAAGAGGAGAAGAGGAGATTGTATTTACACCCCGCCCTTCACTACCCAAAGGAATCTCAGAGCAGCTTACAATCTCTTTTCCTTTCCCCTCCCCACAACAGACACCCTGTGAGGTAGGTGAGGCTGAGAGAGCTTTTTCGAGAACTGCCCTTGACAGAACAGCTCCGAGAGAACTTATGACTGACCCAAGGTTACACCAGCAGCTGCATGTGAAGAAGTGGGGAATCAAACCCGGTTCTCCCAGATTAGAGTCCGCATGCTTAACCACTACACCAAACTGGCTCTCAGGGTATGGATGAAGTAAATACACAATAAATATAGCTGAAGATGGGGGCGCAGACAAAAGGAAGGCTGGTGGGTGGATGGGAAGGAGACAACGACGCAGGGAAAGTTTGCCAGGAGGAAATGAGGAAACAGGGGAGGGGGTTACAAGTGAAAGTGAGGTGCCCCCTGCAAGTCCTTGCATGTTCCCCACCATGTAACGGCGCCCAGCACTGCACAACTGGGCCATAGTTTTCCCAGATAAAAGCTACTCGTGAGAGGAAAGGAGGGAAAGACGGAGGGGCAGATAAAACAGGCTGGCTAGTCAGTGGGAAGGAGAGAAGGAAGCAGAGAAAGGGGAGAGGCTATAGGGGCTTTAAGAGCAACAGGAAATAGTGAGAGAGGGGGAAACGCGAGGCCCCCAACTACTCCTTGCGGGTCCCCAGTTGTACAGTTATAAAGTTATGCACGGGAAATGACTCCCTTTCCTTTTGTGTACTGAACCCCCCAAACAATGTACATTTTTTTAAAAATGCCAGATTGAGCCCCATCTATACGCTTTAAACACTAATTGAGGCAACGCACTTTCTTTCTGAATATAATTTACTGATTAAACCTGATTTTTAATTATTATTCTGTAGTGACAGCTGCAGCCATTGTTCTTTTGTTCCCTGGCTTATGTTTGTTTTATGTAAACTGCACAAATTTGTTTGGCCCTTTGTCTGTAACGTTTTTCAGGCCTTTTGTTAAATGGAACTTGTGATGAACATGTCTTTAAACATGAAGGATTTTTTAAAAAAAATTACGCACGGCATGGAGAAAAGGTAACCCCATTCTTTATGGCGTTAGTAGTCGGAGACCACCAATGGAACTGACTGACATAGGGTTGCCAGGTCTGGGTTGGAAAATACTTGGAGACTTTGGGGGTGGAGCCTGAGGAGGGCAGGGTTTGGGGAAGGGAGGGGAGGGGCCTCAGCATGGTACAAGGCCACAGAGGCCGCCCTCCAAAGCAGCCATTTTCTCCAGGGGAGCTGATCTCTGTCAGCTGGAGATCAGTGGTAACAGCGGGAGCTCTCCAGGCCCCACCTGGAGGCTGACCTTTGTAAGGAAAAACAACCCCGATGTGGTAACAAAACCTGGCTAGAGAAAAATATATCTTCTTTAATTATCCAGTGAATAAAATCATAAAGGTGTTTTCTTTGAAGTAAATTGGTCTCAAGTTTTTTCTTTCTGACGGTACAGCGGTCAATGGACCGTTTCACTCAAAGTCTCATCAGATGAGACCTTACGCTAGAAAATATATAAAAATACATAAAATTTTTCAACACTTATACTCTGAATGCACCCAAAACAGAGATCAGAATACTTTTGTTTTTAAAGGGGGGAAAACCTCAAACAACTCACCCTTCTGCATTTTCTCTACTCCCTCTTCCTTTCTAGCTTACATCATTTGGTTATGTGAAAAGTAGCTCTGTGCTGCCCTCTAAAATTCTTTCAAGACCGCTTCAGCTGCATACTATCAGGGCTTTTTTTGTAGAAAAAGCCCAGTAGGAACTCATTAGCATAATAGGCCACACCCAACAGCAGAAACTCATTAGCATATTAGGCCACACCCCTGACAGTACAGCTCATTAGCATATTAGGCCACACCCCAATGTTACCAGAAGTATGGTCGTCCAGCCACACCCACCTTTTGCTTCTTATTCTGTTTACCTTGTTTGTTGTCAAAACCCAGGGCTTTTTTTTGTAGCAGGAACTCCTTTGCATGTTAGGCCACACACCCCTAATGTAGCCAATCCTAATGAGTTTCTGCTGTTGGGTGTGGCCTATTGTGCTAATGAGTTCCTGCTGGGCGTGGCCAACTCAGGAGCCAGCCGGAACTCCGTTCCTGTGCGTTCCTGCCCAAAAATAGCCCTGCATACTATCAATCATTAACAGAGGTTTCTAATCTAGACCGAAGGCAGGGTAGGTAGCATAGAGAGAGATTCTGGAGGCCGGCAACCCTAGACTGACAGAAAGCCTTCCCTCACACAATGCATAATTAGCACATGGAACTCACTGCCACAAGAAGTGGCCACAGCCACCGGTTTAAGATAGCTTCAAAATAGGTATTGGACAGATTTCCGGAGCAGAGGGGGACAGAACTATTGAGAGCTATTAGCCACAATGGCCCCACAAATCCTCCATGTTCAAAGGCAGTCTACCTCTGATTATCAGATTATAGGGTTGCCAGCTCCAGGTGGGGAAATGCCAAGAGATATGAGGGGCGGGACCTGAGGATGGCAAGGTTTCGGGCATAATGCCATAGAGTCCGGCTTCGAAAGTAGCCATTTTCTCCAGGTGAACTGATCTCTGCCGCCTGGAGACCAGGTGTGATAGCGAGAGGTCTCCAGCCACCACCTGGAGGTTGGCAACCCTATCAGATTATTATTTTCATTTCTTTATCATTTAGATTTTTAAACCACCACCCCCACACCTGTGAGGCAGGTGAGGCTGAGAGAGCTCTGAGAGAACTGGGACTGGCCTGAGGACACCCAGCAGGCTTCATGTGTCTCAAAGCGGCTTCCAATCGCCTTCCTTTCCTGTCCCCACAACAGGCAACCTGTGAGGCAGCTGGGGCTGAGAGAGCTCTTTTGAGAACTGCTCCTGAGAGAACACCTCTGAGAGGACTGTGGCTTGCCCAAGGTGGGGAATCAAACCCGGTTCTCCAGATTAGAGTCTGCTGCTTTTAACCACTACACCAAACTGTCTCTGGAGAAGAGGAGGACGAGGGGGGGACATGATGGCTCTCTAAAAATATTTGAAGGGCTGTCACTTGGAGGAGAGCAGGGAGCTGTTTCCGTCAGCAGCAGAGGATAAGACTCATAAGAAAGGGTTTAAATTAAGGCCGGGAAGGTAGCGGCTGGATCTTAGGGAAAACTTTTTGACAGTCAGAGTTGTTCCACAGTGGAACGGGCTGCCTCGGGAGGTGGTGAGCTCCCCCTCTGTCGTGATCTGTGCAGGACTGAGAGCAGGGCCTAGTGTGGCCTGGTCCCAGGAGAGATCTGCATGCAGGGCCGGCTCACCCACTAGGCGAACTAGGCATTCACCTAGAGCGCCGGGCCCTGGATGGGGTGCCAAGCTGTGCCTCCCCCCCTTTGGTGGCGGCAGGGGTGGGGGGGAGAGGCGGTGGTGGTGGCAGCAAAAGGGTGGTTGGCTCCAGAGGTCTCCAGGCCCCACCGGGAGGTTGGCATCTGCACCACAAGGCAGCCTCGCCTAGGGTGCAGAAACACCTCGAGCCGGCCCTGCCAGTGGCCCTCGAGCCAGAGAGCAGACAGCCTACAGTCCCCATAAGGCTTAGCAACGAGCTATAGGGAGATTCTGTGAGAAGAGTGTTGAACTGTGTGAGGAGACTGTTCTTAGCCATTGACTGAGGAAACACAGGGTGTTCTTTCAGGTCTCTCTCTCTGCGGCCTGCTCTCACTGTGGGGACAGGCTGGTCTGGGAGAGAGGAAGATCTCTACTGGGCTCAGTGTGAGTGCCAGGCAGGCTGTGGGCCTGGAAGCAGAGCAGGTAGCTGCGTTAGTTTATGTTTATTTTGCCTTTTCAACCCCTGTTATACCCTTTTTAAGCACCTTGCCTTGTCTTGTTTTTCCCTGCCCCAGTGTTGTTTTTAATAAACCCTTCCTGTGTAATTATTTTCTCTGCCTGGGTCAATCACGCCTGTGTGTTCTTGGCTGAAAAAGGGGCATGTGGGATGGGCCTGGGACGGTACTCTGGACCTTCTCATTGGACCTGAAGTCCAGAATGGTGGCAGCGGAAGGTAGAGACCCCCCCTGGGGTCACAACACCCTCCCTGGCCGTCTTGAAGCAGCGGCTGGACAAACACTGGTCAGGGATGCTCTCGGCCGACCCTGCACCGAGCAGGGGGTTGGACTAGATGGCTTCTATGGCCCCTTCCGACTCGGTGATTCTACGGTTCTATTTAGTCTTCTGTCTATTTAGGTTTAGGTCTCTATCTGACCAAGGGAGCGCAGACTCTCGAAAGCTGACATCTTGGAAATCCTGTGGGTCTCTAAGGTGCTTTTGTTGTTGTTGTTCAGTCGCACAGTCGAGTCCGACTCTTCGCGACCCCATGGACCAGATCACGCCAGGCCTTCCGGTCTTCCGCCGTCCTCTGAAGTGTGCTCAATTTCATGTTCGTTGCATCGATGACACTGTCTAAGCATCTCATCCTTTGCCGTCCCCGTCTTCTTTGACCTTCAGTCTTTCCCAGCATCAGGGTCTTCTCCAGTGAGTGCTCCCTTCTCATTGGGTGGCCAAAGTATTTGAGCTTCAGTTTCATTATCTGGCCTTCCAGGGAACAGTCAGGGTTGATTTCTTTTAGAAATGACTGATTTGATCTCCTTGCAGTCCAAGGGACTCTCAAGAGTCTTCTCCAGCACCATAGTTCAAAAGAATCTATTCTTCAGCGCTCGGCCTTCCTTATAGTCCAACTCTCACAGCCATACATGACTACTGGGAATACCATTGCTTTGACCATGCGGACTTTTGTTGGCAGGGTGATGTCTCTACTTTTTATCATGCTGTTTAGGTTCGCCATCGCTTTCCTCCCAAGGAGCAGGCGTCTTTTAATTTCATGGCTGCTACAGGACTCGAAATTAACTATTTAGGATATTTCTGTGCCGCCTCTTCAGAGCCCTCCTCGAAGTGGTTCGCAATTAAAAAAAAAACAGGGCTTGAACAAGCACAAGAGGAGAATTCCATTCCCAGGAAACGCAGCCAACGCGGAGGACAGAAGATAATAGCAGGTACTGAGAGAGCCCATTTTCCCTAATTGCTCCGAAGTGCCTTCCAAAGTGCTCGGCGCCTTTTATTTATTCAGACAATGCACAAGCGGCTCTTTAGTGCGATTCTCGGAACGACGCACAGGGAGGGAACAGAAAGAGCCGCCCCCTCCAAATCCATTCTACCATCGGCAGAAGCAAAGTCTGCCGACATCCCATAAGCTCAAACCAGAAGCACCTGGGTGGAGGAAAGCCCCTTCGAGTCACGGCTGACTCATGGCAACCCCGTGAGGTTTTCAAGACAAGACATGAACAGAGGTTGGTTTGCCACTGCCTGCCTCTGCATGGCAGCCCTGGCCTTCCTCAGTGGTCTCCCATCCAAGTAGTAACCAGGCCTGACCCTGCTTAGCTTCCGAGATCTGATGAGACTGGGTTTGTCTGGGCCATCCAGGTCAAGGCAAGAGATGAACAGAGGTGGTTTGCCACTGCCTGCCTCTGCCTTGCAACCCTGTGCTTCCTCGGTGGTCTCCCATCTAAGTAGTAACCAAGGCTGACCCTGCTTAGCTTCTGAGGTCTGAAGAGATTGGGTTAGCCTGGGCCATCCAGGTCAAGGCAAGAGATGAACAGAGGTGGTTTGCCACTTCCTGCCTCTGCGTAGCAACCCTAGGCTTCCTCAGTGGTCTCCCATCTAAGTAGTAACCAAGGCTGACCCTGCTTAGCTTCTGAGGTCTGATGATATTGGGTTAGCCTCTGCCTTCCAGGTCAAGGCAAGAGATGAACAGAGGTGGTTTGCCACTTCCTCTGCGTAGCAACCCTGGGCTTCCTCAGTGGTCTCCCATCCAAGTAGTAACCAGGGCTGACTCTACTTAGCTTCTGAGATCTGAAGAGACTGGGTTAGTCTGGGCCATCCAGGTCAAGGGAAGAGACGTTCAGAGGTGGTTTGCCACTGCCTGCCTCTGCCTTGCAACCCTCGGCTTCCTCGATGGCCTCCCATCCAAGTACTAACTAGGGCTGGCCCTGCTTAGCTTCGCCTTCCACACACAAAAGCCATTCCGAAAGGCCACAGTCACTGGACTCACGGCACTATGGGGCAGGGACTGCTAACATAACAGACGCTGCAGTCGTCCAAAGATTCTCAGGGTTTGAGATCTTAGAGAGGGGGGAGTCAGTGTGGTACAGCGGTTAAGAAAGTCAGACTAGGATCTGGGAGACCCAGCTCTGAATCCCCACTTGTGCCATGGAAGCTCGCTGGGTGGCCTTGGGTCGGTCACACTCTCCCAGCCTAGCCTACCTTATAGGGTTGTTGTGAGGATAAAATCGAGAAGGAGATTGGATTTATACCCCAACCTTCACTACCCAAAGGAGTCTCAGAGCGGCTTACAAACTCATCTCCCTTCCCCTCCCCACAACAGATGCCCTGTGAGGTAAAAGAAGAAGAAGAGGAGAAGAGATTCGGTTTATACCCCGCCCTTCACCACCCAAAGGTCTCAGAGCGGCTTACAAACTCCTTTCCCTTCCCCTCTCCACAACAGACACCCTGTGAGGTAGATGGGGCTGAGAGACCTCTGACAGAAACTGCTCTTTTTCAAGGACAGTTCTGACAGAACTGTGGCTTGCCCAAGGTCATCCAGCAGGTGCAAGTGGAGGAGTGGGGACTCAAACCCGGTTCTCCCAGATTAGAGTCCGCGCTCTTAACCATTACACCGATCTGGCCCTAAAGGGTTTTGTAATATAGTTTCAGCAGATATTCACAATGCAGTAAGCAAGTTCGAATTATCCCATACTGTCTTCCCCCCATGTCCCTGCCCGGGAACTCCAATCACAGAGAGAGGTCCTCCTGAATGTCCCGTCACAGTGCTCGTTTGTTGGGAACACAAGACAGGGCCTTTCTGGTGGCAGCCCCAGTGCTTACAGAACAACCTCCCCGGGAAGGTGCCCCTGGCCCCACACTCCCGAACTTTCAGGGGCACTAGAAGACTTTTATTTAGGGCTGCGTTTAATTAAAATCAAACCAATCAATAAAGCAATCTGAAATTGTGATTTTAAATATTGGCTTTAGGTTTTAAAACGTGTCTATGTATTTGATTAATAGCGTAAGCTGCACCGAAGTCTGCTGGAAGACAGGCAGCCCAATCAGTTTTTTTTTTTTTGTTGTTCAGTCGCACAGCCGAGTCCGACTCTTTGCGACCCCGTGGACAAGATCTCGCCAGGCCTTCCGGTCTTCCACCGTCCTCTGAAGTTGGCTCAATTTCATGTTCGTTGCATCTATGACACTGTCTAACCATCTCATCCTTTGCCGTCCCCGTCTTCTTTGACCTTCAGTCTTTCCGAGCATCAGGGTTTTCTCCAGTGAGTGCTCCCTTCTCATTGGGTGGCCAAAGTTTTTGAGCTTCAGTTTCATGATCTGGCCTTCCAGGGAACAGTCAGGGTTGATTTCTTTTAGGATTGACTGATTTGATCTTCTTGCAGTCCAAAGGACTCTCAAGAGTCTTCTCCAGCACCATAGTTCAAAAGAATCTATTCTTCGGCGCTCGGCCTTTTAAACAAATACAATTTGGAGGGAAAATTTTTTTGCTCCAGGCAGAAAGCATCCAGAAGAAGAGATTGGATTTATACCCCGCCCTTCATTCAGAGTGGCTTACAAATTCCTTCCCCTCCCCACAACAGAGGCCCTGTGAGGCAGGTGGGGCTGAAGGAGAAGAAGAAGAAGAGATTGGATTTATACCCCGCCCTTCACTACCCAAAGGAGTCTCAGAGCGGCTTACAAACTCCTTTCCCTTCCCCTCCCCACAACAGACACACTATGAGGTAGGTGGGGCTGAGAGACCTCTCACAGAAACTGCTCTTTTTCAAGGACAGCTCTTATCAGAACTATGGCTTGCCCAAGGTCATCCAGCAGCTGCAAGTGGAGGAGTGGGGAATCAAACCCGGTTCTCCCAGATTAGAGTCCTCGCACTTAACCACTACACCAGACTGGCTGAGAGAACTCTGACGGAGAACTGCCCTTAAGAGAACAGCTCTGAGAGAACTTGCAACTGACCCAAGGTCATCCAGCAGCTGCAACTGAAGGAGTGGGGAATCAAACCCGGTTCTCCCAGATTAGAGTCCGCGCCCTTAACCACTACACCAAACTGGGCTTTTGGCCCATCAGGAGGGGCACTCTGGGCACAACCCAGCAGCACCTGCAGCAGAGCCGTGCCCTGGCTGGCACAAGGAGATAGAGAACACAACCTCCTGCCTAAGATCTCCATTGGGAGGCACCTGGTACCCCACCCGGAAACACAAATGCCTACCTCTGGTCTGGTCTGATGCATCGCCTTGGTTCCATTGGGAAGATAATATGCCAGTCCCCGGGCACCCGCCAGCAGCTCCCTGCCGGAGGAAGACACAATCAGCACGGGTGGAGTCTCCCCTCAGAAAAGGTGACCCTGACCAGGTGGATGATCTTGGTTTCATTACAGGCAGGCGTACTTGCAATGCTCCCTCTAAGCTGTGGAGTCCTGTGAGCAAAAATTCTACTCGGTGAGCTCCTGGCATTAAAGTTGTGAGCGAGCGATCTGGCTGCTGCATGAATCAGTTTGCTCTAGAGCCCTCCTTCCTGAGCGAAGACAAAAATGTGTGAGCCGGAGGCTAAAAAATTGTGATCTAGCTCACACTAACTCAGCTTAGAGGGAACACTGGGGGAAAGAGCCATTGAGTCACAGCCACCTTAACGGTGATCCTGTACGATCTTTCCGTGCAAGAGACATTCAGAGGTGGCTTGCCCTCGCCTGCCTCTGCAGAGTGACCCTGGACTTCCTTGGTGGTCTCCCTTCCAAGTACTGACCATGGCTGACCCTGCTTAGCTTCCGAGATCTGATGAGATCCGAGGGCCCTGCGCATCTGTTTATTTTTTTAAAACGAATCTTGAGGGCATCCAGTGAAGCTGATGAGCAAGAGATTTGGGATGGAGAAACAGAAATACTTATTTACGCAAGGAGCAATTAAAATGTGGAATTCGCTGCCAGAGGATGTAGTGATGGCCACAGGAATAAACAGCTCTAAGAGGGGATTCGATCGATTCATGGAGGAGAAGTCTGCCCATGGCTACTAGGCGTGGTGACTGAGGGGAACCTCCACATTTCGAGGCACTAAGCCTCTGAATCTCAGAGCCAGCAGGAGGCCACACCAGAGGAAGGCCTCAGCCTCTCTGTCCTATTGTTGGCCCTCCAGAGGAACTGGTTGAGGCCACTGTGTAAGACGGGATTGCTGGACTAGAAGGGACCATTGGCCTGATCCAGCAAGGTTCTTCTCATGTTCTTATCAGGGGAAGGCCTCGGCCTCTCTGCCCTGTTGTTGGCCCTCCTGAGGCCACTGTGTGAGATGGGAGGCTGGACTAGAAAGGACCATTGGCCTGATCCAGCAAGGTTCTTCTCATGTTCTTATCAGGGGAAGGCCTCGGCCTCTCTGCCCTGTTGTTGGCCCTCCTGAGGCCACTGTGTGAGACAGGATGCTGGACTAGATGGACCCTCACTGGACTGATCCAACAGGGCTCTTCTGCTGTTCTTATGAGGGGAAGGCCTCGGCCTCTCTGCCCTGTTGTTGGCCCTCCTGAGGCCACTGTGTGAGACAGGATGCTGGACTAGATGGACCCTCACTGGACTGATCCAACAGGGCTCTTCTGCTGTTCTTATGAGGGGAAGGCCTCGGCCTCTCTGCCCTGTTGTTGGCCCTCCTGAGGCCACTGTGTGAGACAGGATGCTGGACTAGATGGACCCTCACTGGACTGATCCAACAGGGCTCTTCTGCTGTTCTTATGAGGGGAAGGCCTCGGCCTCTCTGCCCTGTTGTTGGCCCTCCTGAGGCCACTGTGTGAGACAGGATGCTGGACTAGATGGACCCTCACTGGACTGATCCAACAGGGCTCTTCTGCTGTTCTTATGAGGGGAAGGCCTCGGCCTCTCTGCCCTGTTGTTGGCCCTCCTGAGGCCACTGTGTGAGACGGGATGCAGGACTAGATGGACCGCTGCTCAGATCCAGCAGGGTTCTTCTTATATTCTTAACCTGGGGAATCATCCTAATGCCAGATCATGCAGCCATCTCTCTTCCTGCTTTCTCAACAAGTTTAGGTTAGTGCCTGCCGAGTATCGAACCCCGGGGGACTAATTATCGCTGATCAAACAGCTCTGAGAATGAACTTATAATGGAGCCTCCATGTTAAGAGACAGAATATCTCTGCCCACCAGTGGCTGTGGAGAAGGCATCTGGCCCTAACTGGACCACCATTAGATCCAGAATACTGGACAAGATGGACCACGGTCCAATACAGAGTGTTTCTGTCAGCTAAGCCTCTAGCTGCCATGGAGTGTAGGGGGGGGGGCTGGAATTTTCATTTTCTTTTCTCTGTGCCTTCAGCGCTTCTTTATCTCTAACATGAGCATTTGGCCTTGGTGTCTAGCACTGGCTTTCTCCTGGGAAACTGGACCCGTTAGCTTTGGCGGGCTTCTACCTGTTCCGTGATTCGCTCCAGGCCATCAGGGGGCCCTCTTGAATTAAGTATATCCATTTGCTTTGCACGCTTATTGCCAGTTCTGACATGAGATGTGCAAAGACAATCTGCATACTTCAATGTTTCAATAAACTTTACTTCTTTGCAAGAAAGTTGCTGGGGACTGATTGCTGCAGGAGTCTGACATATGCAGCTATGGGCAGCTACCACCCACGATGCCTCACAGAACCTCCATGTTCAGTGACAGTCCACCCCTAGACGTTTGTGTGCACACAAACGCTCACACCCAAAATAAAATTTAATGGGTTTTAAAGGTGCCGCTGGACTCAGACTTTGTTCTAGTCCGCCCCTAAAGAACAGCTGGACTGACTATAAGGAAGGGAGAGCGGCTGCCTTCCGGCTTCCCAGAGGCACACAGACAAAACAGGATGTTAGAAAAGATGGCGGTTTGGGTCCCATCCGGCAGAGCTCTTTGAGTAAGCCCTCTCACAGCCCCGCCACTCCAACAAGGGCCACTTCCAACTCACCAGTTCCGTTCCAGATCCACAAGAAAGTGATCTCCCTCCACCTCCAGCGCAATCTGCAGATGAGCCGGGAATCCGTTCTGCCCCTGCCGGTTAGAGATAACAGAATTATTTATTCATGCCACTCATAGTCCGCCTTTCTCACGGGGACAGAGGAAGAAGAGGAAGAAGAGGAAGAGGAGGAAGAAGAGGAAGAAGAGGAAGAAGAGGAAGAAGAGGAAGAAGAGGAGGAGGAGGAGGAGGAGGAGGAGAGGAGGAGGAGGAGGAATGCATAGAGGGGAGTTATGCGTTATGTGTGCACAGAGGGGAGGGATCATAAGACGAAAAGCATGATCACTCTTCTTCCAGGATGGAAATGGGGGGAGCATGTGTAGCAAAACCTATGCAGAGGATCTTTCAGATGGTGCATTTGTGCAAGTGGTCTCTAGACATGAGCCCAACATCAGCTCTCAGATGCTTCTCTTTTGCAGCTCTCAGACTCTTTTGCAGCTCTCAGACTCTCTTTTGGGGCCACCATAAATTTGAACTGATCTGGATTTCAGCTGATTTTGTCCTGAATATTCATTTGAAAGTGTTACATTCACAGAATCATTGAACTGGAAGGGGTCTCATAGGCCACCTAACCCAATTCCCTGCTCAGCACAGGAAATCCAAACCTAGAGCCTTCCTGACAGATAGCTGCCAGGCTTCTCCATGAAGACCTCCAGCAAGGGAGTGCCCACACCATTCCTAGGTAACAGATCCCATGGTCAAATTGCTCTCACCAGTAAGAATGTTATTCTGGTATTCAAACAAAATCTACCTCCTATAACTTAAGAGGAGGAGGAAGAGGAGAAGGAGAGGAGGAGGAGACGAAGTAGAGGAGGAGGAGAAGAGGAGGAGATTGTATTTGTACCCCGCCTTCATTAGAGCAGCTTACCATTTCCTTTCCCTTCCTCTCCCCACACCAGACACCCGGTGAGATAGGTGGGGCTGAGAGAGCTCTTTCAAGGACTGATCATGAGAGAACAGCTCTGAGAGAACTTGTGATTGACGCAAGGTCACACCAGCTGCTGCATATGGAGGAGTGGGAAATCAAACCCGGTTCTCCCAGATTAGAATCCGTGCTCCTAACCACGACATCAAACTGGCTCAAGACGGGTTACACAGAGCGAGTCCATACAATCGACAGAATGGGACACTTAATAGACAATGAAGCAGGACTTGGGTCGTAGAACCAACCAGAAATCTAGAAAGAAGCACGGAAGCAAAGCAAGAGAAAGCTGGAGTCCAGGGGCATCTTTAAGACCAATGAAGTTTAAGTCTGAGTATAAGCTTTCCTGTGCACGCACACTTCACCTTATAACCTTGAATAAAACTTTGCTGGCCTTAAAGGTGCCCCTGGACTCAAACTTTGTCCTGTTGCTTCAGACCAACGCGGCTACCCACCAAAACCAGAAGTGGATCGCATGACACATAAAGTGACGCAAGACTACACAGTAGGAGCAAACTTGCAACAAGCTATACGCAGTAGTACAGACCACAGTCCCTAACGATTTGTCCAAGTCTCTTTGTGAATCTTTTGGTGCAGCCCTACCCTATTGCCCGTGTAGAAAAGCCCTTTTGAATCATTCGGTTTTGCATAGTTTGCAGAAAGCCAGGAGAAGGGGAGCTTTCCTGACCTCCTCAGCCAGGCTGTTCCACTAAGCGGGGGCCACCACGGAGAAGGCATGCATAAAGGCATTTGTCAATTTTGCCCATTTGCAGGCTGCCATCTGCAGAAGGCCCTGTTATGATGATGAGGAGAATGAGGAAGAGGAAGAAGGAGAAGAGGAGGAAGAAGAAGAGGAGGAGGAGATTGGATTTGTACCCTGCCCTTCGCTACCCAAAGGAGTCTCAGAGCAACTTACAATCTCCTTTTCCTTCCCCTCCCCACAACAGACACCCTGTGAGGTGGGTGGGGCTGAGAGAGCTCTCCCAAGGACTGCTCGTGAGAGAACAGCTCTGAGAGAACTTGTGACTGACCCAAGGTCACACCAGCAGCTGCACATGGAGGAGTAGGGGGGAATCAAATCCGGTTCTCCCATATTAAAGTCCACGCTCCTAACCACTGAACCAAACTGGCTGTCGTGGCAGGGCACAGAACAAGCCAGGGAGAGAGTGCTCAAAACCATCACAGGGATTTTGGAAGACGGGTCCCTTTCTTAAAAGGACCGAACAGCCAGCAGTCCTATGGCTTAGGAGGGGACCACCAGAGACCCCCCTCCATCCCCTGCCAAACATGCACGTGCAACTTCGGTCCGGGCTGCGCCCAAAAGTGTGCCACGTGGCAGGGTCACACCGAGGGCAGGGCAGGGCTCTTTCACCCCCTCGCTGGCAGGAAAGGCCTCTCCCCGATTAGCTCACAGTCCTGCGGGTGCAAAGCTGTTGCCCGGAGGTGTCTGCTTCTCTCCCCTCCACCCCCCCCTCCACCCCACCCGGAGTTTCCTGCCCAGCAGTAATAGAAGGAAATGCCTGGGAGACTCCCTACATCCGTGGGCCGGGCACCCGGCGGGTGAAGGCAGGGGGGACGAGAGGAGATGAGCTCATTCCAGCCGGCTCGTCTTGAGCTTACGGCCCAGCAGCTGCGGGGCTCCCCTTTCCGAGCATCTCAGTTTCTCTCTGCGGATTCGGTGTCTTTCAAATATTAATGCCTCCCCGGCTCTCGGCCTAGTGATCCGCGTGGGGGGCAAGCGAAACTTCCCCATCCCCGGCCCCGAGAGAAGCATTGACAACCAGCAAAGCGGCAAACGCCAATTAGCCAAACGGCAAAGCGGCCGGCGGAGGAAGCGGCCGTACGCCCGGCCAGTATAACAAGAATTAGCTACGCAGTGAAAAAACTTGCGACTGACCCAAGGTCACACCAGCAGCTGCCTGTGGAGGCGTGGCGGATCAGACCCGGTTCTCCCAGATTAGAGTCTACACTCCTAACCACTACACCAAACTGGCTCCAGGCAGGTTGCAGAGAGAGAGTTAATACGATCGACAGGATGGGACACTCAATGAAACAGGAGTTAGGTCGTAGAACCAACCAGAAATCTAGAAAGAAGCACTGAAGCAAAGCAGGAGTAAGTTGGAGTCCAGGGGCACCTTTAAGACCAACAAAGTTTAAGTCTGGGTATAAGCCTTCCTGTGCACGCACACTTCACCTTATACCTTGAATAAAGCTTGAATTAAAGGTGCCCCTGGACTCCTGTTGCTTCAGACCAACACGGCTACCTTTCTGACCATACAAGAACGCATGGACACGCCATGAAATTGATGAGCACTAGGTTTTGAGCAGATCAAAGGAAGTCCTTCTTCACCCACTGAGTAATGAACAGGTGGAACTCACTGCCGCAGGAAGTGGTGGCAGCGACCAGCATAGGTAGCTTCAAGAGGGGATTGGATAAACATATGGAGCAGAAGTCCATCAGTGGTTATTAGCCACACGGTAGCTCAAGTGGTTAAGACGCTGAACTGCAGGCTGTGAAAGGTCAGTAGTTCAGCAGTTCGAGACCCGGGTGCCCCATGACGGAGTGAGCTCCCGTCTCTAGTTCCAGCTCCTGCCAACCTAGCAGTTCGAACGCAAGAAATTGCAAGTAGATAAATAGGGACCACTTCGGTGGGAAGGTAACAGCGTTCCGTGCGCCTTGGTGTTTAGTCATGCCGGCCACATGACCACGGAAACGTCTTCGGACAGCACTGGCTCTTCGGCTTTGAAACGGAGATGAGCACCGCAACCCTAGAGTCGGACTCGACTGGCTTTCGAGCAAGGGAACCTTTACCTTTTTACAGATAGGAACTCTCGGTCTGGGGCAGTGATGCTCTGTATTCATGGTGCTGGGGGGGGCAACAGAGTTCTGGCCCCGCTGGCGGACCTCCTGATGGCCCCTGGGTTTTGGCCACTGTGTGACAGAGTGCTGGACTGGACGGGCCACTGGCCTGATCCAGCATGGCTTCTCTTATGTGTCATAGAGTCAGGGATTGAACTAGGGACCTTCTGCACACAACGCAAGCCCTCTACCACCAAGCTATAAGTTCGCCCAAGAATCAGTGGGGGGGGGGGAACAGCAGAGTCATTGGCAGGCGCGCAGTGGCTCATACGGAGGGGCGGGCAGGGTGTCTTACCAGTGCCGCCTCCTCCAAGCTGAGGGTCCGGTCGCCCTGCAGGATCTTCGGTGCGATGGTCCAGTGGCAGGTCAGCTCATCCCACGGCTGCCGGGTCCTGCCATCTGCAACCAAACACAAGCAAAAGACGTGTCATCTGGCCGTTCCTTTTCACCAGCTTTTTATATGGCTGTATCCCAGGGGTGGCCAAACTGCGGCTTGGGAGCCACATGCGGCTCTTTCACACATATTGTGTGGCTCCCGGCAGGGCAGCTGGGGAAATGGGGGCAGGCTTTTTCTCCCTCCCACCTATTTGCTTTCTTTGTTTCTCTCTCTCTTTCCTCTCTTTCCACCTCTTTCATTCTTTCTTTCCACCTCTCTCTTTTTCTCTCCCTCTTAGACAAATGGATATAATCAGCAAACAAACAAATATCATTATCAATATCCATTTTGACCCCTTTGGTTTTTTATTTGGGGCAGTCACATTTAATGGTAATAAAAAAGCCAATCTGCATATATCTTTTTAAAGAAAAATGTCTTGCGGCTCTCAAACATCTGACGTTTATTCTACGTTTATTCTACGTGGCACCTCTGCCATTTCCAAATCAGCCCTGGGAAAAGCCAAGAGAAGCCGAAATTCTGCAGAAAGCAAGCCTCAAAAATCTGCCACCCGAATAACTGACGCAAACAAAACAGATCTGCATCTGGATCCCGCAGCCAAAAGGCTAGTCCCTTGGGTATTATTATGTCGGGGTGGGGCTCCTTTCTTGTCTTTTTTGCACATGTGGAATTTGGCACTAAGAACACAATTCGGATTCCTGAGACTTCCTATTTTGGCCTGAAAAAGCAAGTTCCTACGCTCTGATGAGTCCTAAACAGATCTCTCTAGTTCTTTAAGGGACAGAATGTTCTGTGTTTTGTCGTAGAACAAATGTAGAGTCCCGTGGCACCTTTCAGACCAACAAAGGTTTATTCAAGGTATGACCTTTCGTGTGCACGGCACACTTTTTCAATTACAGTGGAATGGAAGGTAACAGTTCAAACTTGCAGACAGAGGCCGAACAGCAGATTAACACTGTAACACGAAGAAGAGGTTTTAAGATATGCAAAGACAAAAGTAAGTAACAAGCTAAGGTTATAGGTTAACAGCAGTGTTCCCTCTAGTCTGAGTTAGTGTGAGCTAGCTCACAGTCTTTTAGCCTCCGGCTCACACATTTTTGTCTTAGCTCAGGAAGGAGGGCTCCAGAGCAAACTAATTTATGCAGTAGCCAAATTGCTTGCTCATAACTTTAATGCCAGTAACTCACAAAGGAGAATTTTTGCTCACAAGACCCCACAGCTTAGAGGGAAGATTGGTCAACAGTTGTTAACTAAGGAGGGGAAAGGTCAGCAAAGCAATAAATACGTCAGAATAGGGGATAAATGTGTACAGGTAGTGTGGGAAGTAAACGGAGACTCTCAATGCATTGTGTTTTGCTCGTCACTGAGTTTTCGCACCACTGTTGGATTGGCCACTGGGGCACAACTCCGACTGCTGGTTTCAGATGTTTTCAATCAGGGGTCCCCAACAGGGTGCCTACGGGCACCATAGTGCCCGCTGACATCTTTTCTGGTGCCCGCCAAGTGTTTTTAGAAAGTGGGCGAGGCCAGGTGGTGCTTTTGCCCTGAGAGGCTTCTGATTGGCTGTGTAGATTTTTAAAAACATGGCTTCAGCGGCAGCTGCCACCACAGCACAAGTGTTTTTACTGTGTGACTAAAGTTAAGCTCGGGCAATCATTTTGTGGCTAGCCCCGCCTCCTGTGGTAGCCATTCCGTGGCTCCGCCCACCATGCTGTGTTAGAATTCCAGAGGTGCCCACGGGCTCCAAAAAGGTTGGGGACCCATGTTTTGACAAAGTGATTTGGGACGGTAGGGGCTTATATACGAGATTCCACCAATTCCCACCAATTTCCCCCTTCAGGGCTTAAAACGGCCCTCCCCAAACGGTGCCAGTACTCAGTACTAGTGAGCATTACCACCAAAGAAAAAAGATTCTGGTTTTTAAAAAGTAGCCTCTTCTAGCCCTTCTGGAGGACAAACAACAGACTTGAAAGCCATACCTGGGGAAATCTCACAAACAGAAGAAAAGTGCTGGATTTCAGGGGGATACAGGAACACACGAGCCTTGTCCTAAATCAGACCTTGGTCCATCAAGGCCAGTATTGTCTACTCAGACCGGCAGCGGCTCTCCAGGGTCTCAGGCAGGGGTCTTTCCCATCACCACCTGAACGGTCCTTTTTAACTGGAGATGGCGGGGATTGAACCTGGGACCTTCTGCATGCCCAGCAGATGCTCTACCACTGAGCCACAGCCCTACCCCCACCCTTAGTCCGTCAAGGTCGATATTGTCTACTCAGACTGGCAGCAGCTCTCCAGGGTCTCAGGCAGAGGTCTTTCACATCACCACCTGCCTGGTCCTTTTAACAGGAGATGCTGGGGATTGAACCTGGTCTACCACAGAGCCATGGCCCCACCTGTCAGCGAGCTGCCATTTCTCTGGGATGTGTCCCTCTTCCCTCCCTCCCCGTGTTATTCTCTTCTGGTATGCGACTGTAACTGCCAAGCTTCTCCTACAGGTGGACGTTGGAGTGTTATGTCTTCTTGCCTTGCTTAATTAGATTCCCGTGTGAACTGAGCTTGTGTTTATGGTATGAGCAGTTGGAGTTCTCAGGCTGCTTCGCGCCTTTTCTAATCAACTCCCTTGCGAGGGAGTTTAGCCCATTGGGTTAACCAAGTTTGAAGTTCCTATATTATACTGCCCCTGTGTATTGTAGTCATTCTGGACAATTCTCTGTATGTTCATGATCAACCATGCTTTGGAAATAAATCTTACTTCTTTGGAACGTGGGTTTGTTCTCCTGCTTTGGGGGTCTGACATTTTGTCCAGAATCCTCTTTCCCCCTCACCCCGAGTCTGACATCGATCATGAGCGGGGCCGAAGGGAAATCATTTTTCTGGGCAGAGGACCGAGGTGCCGTCCCGGCCACTGCCTTAACATCGGACTACATGGAAGCCCGAGGTGCCGTTGGGGGAGCGATCCCGAGGCATGAGACTATTCCTTGGCCTCCTCCTACCCCATCGCATTGGGGAAAACAAGAGGTCAAAGCCTCAGAGGATTGGACTATGTTCGATACCCAAGGCACCAGGGAAACGTTTGTTCATCGGGGCAGTGGGCCCCGAGAAAGCCTTTTTGAACCGGGATCTTATCCTGAAAGACCCCGGAGTTGCCCGGCTGTGGCTTATCGAGGGGAGGATGAGTTTTGGCCGGAGGAGAGAGCGACCGGACGAGACGAGCGGGAAGAGCAGCCAGGCTGGGGGGCATCCCAGGATGGCAGGATCCAGGAGCTCGAGAGGTCGGTGCAGGATCTCATGAGGACAGTGACAGAAGTTTTCAACGCCATGCACCAGATGGTGGACGATCGCATCGCGGATCGTCTGGGTCCTGTCATTCCACC